AAAAAGAAAAAAGAAAAAAGGGGGGGGAGCATGAAAAAGAAAGAGTAGCTTCTGACTTTCCTGGGTACAGGTATAGATGTCAAATATATTCGCCTCTTACTCTAATATCTAATAAAAGTTCACATAATAAACCCCCTCCTCTTTTTTTTAACTTTTTACTTGGTTGGACTTATGAACAAAACGGACTTACGAACAGCCTCTTGGAACGTAACCTGTTTGTAAGTAGGGGACTGTCTGTAGCGTGGAAGGAGGCAGTATATGGACAGAATAAATACCATTGTTCATAGTACATAATGATGGTATCTACAAACAAGGATCATATCTGGTTTAGAAGAATACAGAGGCACCATGGAAAGGTCACCCCCATAGCATTATTAGAGGCATTCCAGTCATAGAGGTCATAAGATTACAATATTTTCTTAATCTTTTCTACGTAGCAAATATGACCATCTTGCTTTGTTCAGGGCTCTTCTGTGTTGTTTTGGTGAGGAACCCAATGATTACTGTCCTTGTGCCTGGCAATAAAGATACTTCCATTCACCTCTCTTCAATCACTTTGGTTCCTGGTTTAAGTGGGCATTTTCCCCACAGCATGCTACTGACCGATCCAGCAGTAGAGGCATGGAAAACACTCTGCGGTCAAAACATCCCAACCTCTGGAATTTTACACAGTCCATTATTCAGGCTTAAAAGCTGGCCAGCAGTGATTCAAGGACACAGTGTTTGATAAGATCATTTTATTATAGAGACTAGAAAAGCCCTAATTAGAGCACAAAACCAGCAGCTGTTAACAGTAAACTTCAAACCATATCTCTACCTCTATCTCAACAGGTTCAAACCCTACATCTCTGTTTCTCACGTATGCACCCCAATAAGACTGAGAACCACTCATTTCCAAAGGGGTAGTGCAGACGACATCTTGCGTTGTTATTGCAGTGGGTCTGTTGTGGTCTCAAGCTGTTTCTAGTCCTCTTAACAACATCCTGTTTTAGCCTTGACCCAGGGCACTCCATATGTATCAGAAGTGATCCATACTCAGAAGAGGGCTGTTTCAAGCATATCAGAAGGGGGCTGACCCCAGAACAGGACTGTTCTATCAGAAGTTGTCTGACCTTGGAGTCACTCATTCTGACCTCAGAATGGAGTTTGGAAGAAAGAGCTTATTTTAGGGTCTGATCACACTCAATACACTCCAAATGGGATGTATTGGAGGCCATTTCAAGGTAGGGCTGTTCTGACCATAAAGGATTTTGCATACTTACATTGAGCAGAACTGTCAGGAACCTACTTCCCATTAGTTTCCAGCACAAATATCTACCAGGGCAACCAATGTTCCTTAGCACAAAACCTGACAGGAATCTACTTTTTCTGTTCCTCATTAGAAACCCATCATTCTGTTTTTCCCAAAGCATCCCCCATAAAAGGGTTCATTTCAGACACCAAACATTCCCTGACTAGGTGTCCTCTAGGTGTGTTGGACTTCAATCCTCATAATTAGAAGAATCCAGAAGTCACATTAGGGGAAATGTTGACCTTTTGGCTAAAAGAAGAAATGCATAAAGAACTGGTGAGGTTTGTCCCTTGTCTACAAAAATCATTAATCTGTCTTCTTAAAACAAAGCCAGAAACAGAAACATTTCCCCTTCTCTTTTGCACCCGCTCAGCAGGTGGCAGCTCTTAACTGATCTTGGAATGATTTCGGAAGCTAAGCAGAATCACATCTCGTTAGTTCTTGAATGGGAGACCACCAAGGACATACAATACTAGGGCAATAAGCAAATAATAAGGCCAAAGCCAACTACTTCTTGAAAACTATACAGATATAGTCACCAGGAGCTCAACTTGAGAGGGTCTTTACCCTTATGACCTCAACCCACTTTCTCATATTTCCCCTTGATTCCCGTTCATACCTATCAGAGTCGAGGTTCCACCCAGAGCTGGCGAAGTGACTTCAACTGCTAGGATCCCTCCCTTCTCCGGAATACTGGTCGGTTGCTTCTTGTGGCTTCTAGCCTGGGAGAGGTTTTTCAGTTCTTCAACTGTAACAGCCAAAATGCTATGAAACTGAAGGCAGTCCAGAAATCATGCAAGTCAAATGGAAGCACATTTCATTGCTAACCCCTAACCATGTCATGTTCTTCCACAGGCTGGGATCCCCAAGGCCAAGAAGGAAGTTTGCACATGGGTGACTGGGCTTCTAACATCTCTTAAAATTACAGCCCAGAATTTCCCCAAACGCAGGCTAATTTTTGCTGGGTCAAGAAACCACAGATCCACTTGGAATTAGCTACTTCATGGTCCTGCTGCTAATTCCACATGCCACAAGTGTTTACTACGGCTATGCATACTTCAAAAATGATTCAATAGAAGTGTTTTGGACCTTATGTGCACACAGTACCTGTCTGCTAGGTAAGCCTGAAAAAATTTTTGCCTGCTGTAAGGGTCATGATTCATTCCTGATGCTGCACTGAGTATTCTTCCTTAATTGATAACCCAATCACCTTTGAAAATCATCCGAGCAAGTGGGGCATTGTTTCTGTATTCCCCACCTTGATGAGGAGATCCTGATACAAAGTTGTTCCTTCTTTGTCCACCAGTGAGTTTTGTGCACCAATCAATTATGTCCATTTATTTTTGGCTGAATGTACTCAATTTCTGTGGTGGGCAAAAACTTCTTGGACGTGACATTTTATCACTAGTGGCAGGCAATAAAGGAACAAGAGCCTAGACGGTCCCTCAAAATGAATAAATAAATCCTGAAGTACAAACATCTGCCAAACCAAGGTAGATGTGCTCCTCACCCTCCCAACCCCAAACCACCTGAATCATCATGAATGAGCTCTGAGTATTCTCCTAATCATTTTCAGGAGTGCTCTGAGCAACCAGTGATCTGAAAAATGCTTGGATTTGATTTCTTCCTTTATTGCAGGAAGTTAAATTCTTAAGTTCAGCTTTCCATTCTTTCTGCTCTCCCTAGTGGTGAATTCTTTGAGGGCAACCTCATTCATTTAGCCCAGGGCTCTGCAAACTCTTCAGCTCATCAAGCCCTTCGTGAAGTTTCAGATTGTTCATCAACCTCCAAACGTTTATTCTATAAAAATAATAAATACTACTTTAATAGTACTACAAATCATATCATCATCATCATCATCATCATCATCATCTTGGCTACCAAACAGCAAAAAAATGCTGATAAAATCTCTCATTTACTTTATATGGATGATCTGAAGCTTTATGGAAAATCAGAAATTGAAATCCAGGCATTGAGAAATACTGTAAAAAATTTTAGCACAGATATAGCAGTGGAATTTGGCCTACAGAAATGTGGTATCTTAGCAATACATCAGAATAAAATAATGAACAGTAATGGAATTGAAATGCCGAATGGCCAAACCATCAGAAGCCATCAGGATGAAGCCTACAAATATCTGGGAATTTTACAGTTGGATAACATCAAGCACGGACAAGTTAAAAATGTGATATTCTTTGGATGATAAGAATACATCCAAAGAATGAGAAAATTATTAAAGACAAAATTGAATGGTGGCAACATCATCAAAGCCATCAATACCTGGGCCATGCCTGTGATACGATACACAGCTGGAATTATTAACTGGACACAAGCTGAACTGGACAGTTTGGATCAAAGAACAAGAAAACTCACGACTATTCACTATGCATTACATCCCTGTAGTGGTATTGACAGATTATACCTGCCCCACAGAAAGGGAGGCAGAGGTTTACTTTAAGTCAAACAAACTGTCAAAGAAGAAAAGCATTGGCTGATTATGTAAAAGACGGTCAAGAACAAGCACTGATGCAAGTTAAAAATTGGAACTTACTGAATGTACAGGAAACGAAAACAATGTAATAAAAACAAGAGCAGAATGTTGGCAAGGAAAAGCATTACATGGTCAGTTTCTACAAAAGATCAAGGATAAAGTGAATAAAGCTAAAAGCTGGCACTGGCTTATAACTGGAACATTAAAAAAGGAAACTGAAGGCTTGATTTTGGCTGCTCAAGAACAAGCTATTCGAACTAATGCAGTCAAGGCCAGCATTGAAAAATCATCAAATGATTCAAAGTGCAAGTTGTGCAAAAAAGCAGAAGAAACAGTAGATCATGTACTCATCTCATGCAAGAAGATCACACAAACTGACTATAAACAATGACGTAACACAGTCACCAAAATGATTCACTGGAACATCTGTAAAAATTATCATTTGCCAGTAATGAAAAATTGGTGGAAACATATAGTTGAAAAAATAGTAAAAAATGAGCAGGTTAAAATATTGTGGGATTTCCGAATACAAACTGGTCATGTCTTGGCCCATAACACACCAGATTTAACTGTGGCTGAAAAGAAGAAAGAGTGGATAACTGATGTGGCAATACCAGGGGATAGTAGAATAGAAAACAAAGAATTGGAGAAGATCACAAAGTACCAACATCTGAAAATTGAAGTTGAAAGAAGATGGCATAAACCAGCCGTGGTGGTCCCACTAGTTATCAGCACACTGGGTGCCATACCAAAAATCCTTGGACAGCACTTAGAAAATCTGCACATTGACAAAATTTCCATCAATCAATTACAAATAGCCACCCTGCTTGGATCTCCACATAGACTACGCTGATACATTATGACATCCTAGGTTCTTGAGAAGAACTCGATGCAAATGAAGCCAACACCAGCTAAAGAACTGGCAGCTGTGATTTCAGAAGAAAGAGGAGGAGGAGGAGGAGGAGGAGG